CCCCAAAACCCCAAAACCCCAAAACCCCAAAACCCCGAGGTATCTGACTAGTGTTGAGATAATTCTAAATTATTAAACATGAGAAGCAACTATGATTCCTCAAAAGTGCATGGGTCAGGGAAAGTAATTGCAACATTGGCATCAGAACCCAAGCGAAGATGTGAAGCTGATGAAACCCTTGACATTGACAACATGTGCTCTATATTTAGAAGTTCAGTTTGATTTTAAAATGTAATAAAAATGCGGAAGGTATGATAAATATCTAATGGAGAAAGGCTGTAAAGCCCAACTGGGATAAATGCACAAATATGAAATAATATGGTCAATCCGCTAGAACATGTAAAATAAATCTTCACTCTCTCCGTGCAAATCTTTTGTTTATAGTTCAGAGCCGTATAACTGTGTGATTTCATAGATTGGACCAAGTCTTACCATTGCTACTATAATTATAATTATAAATCTTACCTTTCAATTCTTGATGCATGATTTTTTCTGATTATTCTTCTTGCTTGCTTACTTCTTTTGGTAAAAATTCCTAAATAATATCCATCAATGCTTACTTTTGCTTTTTCTCAATCCAAAATTAGTGGTAAGTCTGTTGGTCTCGATTTGCCCATCATTAAGCTGATCTGCTTCTCTTGCAGGCTTGTTCATCGGGAGCTTTTTCACCTTTCTGAATTTGCTTCTTGAGGATTTTATCTTGGAAAATTTCTATATTTTGTTTTATGTCCCATTCAATGAAATGCAAAACAAGATTTTTACCTTTGATTTCTTATGTCCTTTTGCTTTGCGTATAATTATCTGAGATTTAATATTATGATCATCATCTCTCAATAATCACGACTCAGGAACTTTATTAGGCTCAGTATATTTCTTTCATAAGAGTTTTGATAACACTTTAATAATTCATTTATAGTACTCATTACTGGAATCAATAGCTCATATGATTAAATAAGTAAACTGGACAAGGAAATAAGAGTTGATCATGAATATGAGGATAGTGGCCATTAAATGGAAGCCTGGATATCTCTCCTCATTTTGAGAAAATATGATACAGCTGAAGATAGTTATTGAGCCTGACATTATTGCCAATAATTCGATTTGATTATTCTCAGTGTTTTTATATGGCTTTAAAGTATTCTGAATCCGCAAAAGAGCTATCATTACCGCTATTTGTTATGCTAAAATACTTACCTACTGAGAGAAGAAGCTTATAGTTTATTGATACTGAAATCATAAGAGAGTTAATAGCCAATATTCCGAATTTTCTGAGAGTATTGACAAACTCCCAGTAATATCTTTCTGGCTTCAGACCTTGGTAAAGAATGAAGAAGTACTTCTGGAAGCCCCAGTCGCTGAGTTTATGCTTGTGTTTGGCTAGTATTATAAATGAAACTACGGGTAGTGCTAATACATAAACTGTGAGAATAGGAATCCCTAACATTGCCAGCCATGAAATGTGTTCTTTTGAGTATCATTTATACTCCATGTGTAGGGTCATCCTATAATCGTTTGTATCTACTTGGGTTCATCTAAAAGCAGATAGTGCTTCCATCGTAAGTTTAGGATGCAACAAAAATATAATGCATATAGCTGAAACAATGATGGCTCTAGATAACCCAAAACTTGTTTTTAGCCTGATAACTTTTAAGATGATTCTCGTAACTACGATTCAGCATGAGATTGCCAAAACAAGGACAACAGGAAGACATAAATATAGAAAAAGTTTGAATAACGAACTTGAAGGAGCAAAGAATCTGATTTCATTATCTTCAATGAATCAATCGTAAGAAATGAAGCTGGTTTGGAGAGAGATCTTATTGAATTGGGAGAATAAGCCTTTGAAGCTTCCTGGGATACCTGTGTTGTATGCCATTGCTGCCGACATCAACTGCAGATAATTGGTAAATATTCTCAAAAGAATTGACATTTGGTTATCTTTCTTCTTTTTCATATTGATGAAAGTCAGTGCTCCCAAGAATACCATCACCAAGATAGAAAATACAATAACTCTAATTGTATTGACTATTGCATTCGGGCATTTCGAGCATTGGAAGTTGCCAACTGGCTCATATTTGACACCATCTAAAATATCTCAACTACTACACAAATATCCTTTGTATCCTGTGGTGCATTTCACTGGATGTTCACTCTGAGGATCATATCCTCCATCACAAGCATCAGGGTTTACTCACTTGATGATATTGGAAGTATTTACAGATTTCTTCCAGTATCCTTGATCCACCTCAATCGCATCTCTGCCAGTTCAAGTCGCATGGTCCATTCAGGAGTGACACTCTGTCTCATTCCAGTTGAGAGTGTAAGTTCCATAAGATCACTGTTGACACTGGTTGTCTGTACTTTGGATCTCTCCAGGTTTGCAATATCTGAATTCCACATTTATTATGTTATCATATTCTTCTTGAGTGTCAGTGAAGGCAGACTCAATAATTTCAGAGTCAATAGCTTTGGAGATTAAACTATAATTTACATCTTCAATTTACCTATATGGCACAGTATGTTTTCCAAAATAGCTTTGAAAAATAACTTTGTCAATACTGGCTGATCCATTTCTGACGCTTCCAAAATCATTGCCTCGAATGCTTGAGTTTTTCTCTATGGGAGCTATTTTGATAATGGCTGAGTTTTCTAAGTTTGTAACTTGCTTGTCATAATCGACTAGGTCAAACTCTAAATTTTTATCATACTCTATTCCAGTTCCTACATCTCTTAGCAATATTTTGTTATTTTTAGTTCCTCTTTGAACTATTTTTATTGGGTAACTGCCAATGTTCTGTCCATAAAAAGCTGAGTTATCTTCACATAAAATATTTTCCATGATTGGTCTGTTCCAATTGTAATAAATAGCACCCCCTTTTAGAGATGCAACATTTCCTGTAAAAGTGCTGTTCTGGAGAGTAACCAGGCAAGGATAATCCATGGATCATAAAATGCTTATTGCTCCTCCAGACTTTGCATTATTATTAGAGAAGATTGCTCCAGAAATGGATACTTTAGAGCTATCTATTAGGATCGCACCACCTTCCAATACATCTTGAGATCCACAATTGATGAAGTTGGAGTCAGTAAATTGACTGATATCTGAATTGTAAAGCCTAAGATTTCTCTCATTATTGGTCATATTCCATCCAGACATCAAGTCAATTTTTGTCTCTTTGATGCTCACGATATTATGGAGTCAATTCGATATTCTGACATTAGAAAACTCAACAAGCTCAGATTGATAAATCTCAATAATCTCACTTTGGTTGTTAGTAATATTAGAGATTTCAACATTACTAATGAAGGAGGAAATTTTAGCATTTTCTTGGTTTTTTGTTTCCTTTCTTGCACGAATAATGTCAACTATATAGAAATTAGAGCGAATTTTAATGCAAGTTAACAAAAATAAGCAAATGAAAGTCAAAGGAGTATTTAGTACCTATATTTCTTGTTTCTTCAGTGATGTTCTTAGAGATCAGACCCTATTAAAAGAAATGTTATATGCTTTATAATGATTTCCCTCCAGTTCTAAGAGCTTATCAGAATGTTCACAAAGATAAATGAACTAGCTACATTGGGATTTACAGAAATTGGTAACAAAATTATTGGAAAAAAGTATATTATCTATCCTGATTGTAACTATGTCTTTTAATTAGAAAATGAACTGTGTGAGTAAAGGGGACTTACATTGATATTAATAGTTCATAATACTGATCGAAGTAACCTAATATTAGAATCAGTAAAAGTAATATTTTCAAAAGTTGCTATGGAAGTGGTAGCGTAAATCACTGCACTATCTTCCCTTGATGTCAAGAGATTGAGAGTCATGCTAGATACATAAAGTTCACTTTCTGATACAGCTATTATATTGGAAACTGAGGAAGTTTGCTCCACTATGAGATTTTTAATGCGAACTATCCCAACTTCTGATTTTATCAAGGTGTTTTGATCGATACTTCTCACTCCATTTTCCATTTTTAGACTTCCAAATTGAACTCTAATTCATGATGGAAAAGAATTGGTGTCAAGAAGGTAGTGGTTTTGTTCAATATAATCTTTCAAGTTTTGTGTTCTTATTACTACAAAGATTAAAATATTCTTACCATTTGGAACAACCTCTGATAATATTTTAGTTTTTAAGAGGGATAGATTTCTGCTGAATGTTCAATTGTTGAACACACTCTCAAATTGAGAAGAAAATATGGTTGCGATAGGAGAAGTGGCAGCAATGTTATCATAAAACTCTGAATCATAAAACTCAAATATTCCATCGCTCTCTATCTTAATTATTCCACTATTAACTGCAAAGTTGTTTTTAAAATGGCATCTGTAACACTTTATGGTACTGCCAGATTCGGTAACCATCACTCCTCCTTCTACCGAAGTGTTGTTGTAAAACTCTGAGTCATACACCTCTACAAGTGCATTCTTTTTGCCAGCAGCAATCACTGGCCCATTTCCAATGTTGCTTGTGTTGAAGAAGGTTGAGTTCATGATAGAGACGATTGCTCCTTTGTTGATGTTCAGCACAGACCTCAGGTCACCGTCCACATTGAAAACAGTCATGTTGTGGATCTCGACCAAAGTGAAGTTGTGCACACTGTTGGTATCATAAGACTCAATGGTAACTCCCATCGACGACACCTCTGAGATTTCAATATTTCTAACTACCAGTGCAGAAGATGACTGCTGTTGTAAGTGCATCAAGTATGCACTTGACTCTGCACTCAGGTTGTGGAACTTGAAGTTGTTTAGTTCGATGTTGTATTCTCCCAGAGAAGCAAGATCGTAGAGCTTTACTATTTCAGTTCCGCTTCTCAGGTAAGAATTTGTGTAGGTGACATTGGTGACAACCAAAGACTTTACAGTAGTTGACTCATATTTGGGATAGGATATGCTTAGTATTGATACTGAGCTTTGTTGGACAACAATGTTGGATAATTCTTGCTGAATATCTATCGGATCTGATGTTGGAAGATAATAACTGGATATTAACGAGGTTACCCCCAAAGATCCTTGTTTAGAAGTCACATTAAACCCATTAACAGCTTCTAGCTTAACACTTCTGAATGAGTGGTAGGAAATAATAGCTGAATCCTCGCTCATCACAATATTTTCAATAGAAATATTTTGAAGTGTTAAATTACCTTCTCGAGTTCCAGTAAAATATAGAAGACCTCTTGTGATCGAGATTTCAGAATTTGTAATGGTAATATTTCTGATTTTCATTTGTCATGAACTCATTCATTGAGCGGAGATAGTTGGAGAGTCTTCAGAATTTTGGATAATTGTATCTGTTATCTCAACAGCTTCAACATTAAGAGTATTCCTAAATAATTTTAGAATTCTAATAAGCTGTTCGAATATTCCAAGTATGATGATACAAAGTTTGACATAAATAGATTTAAAACTAATTTGTTACTCAATTAAAAGTACTTACAACCCCATGAGAAGAATTGGAATCAAGTCTTTCTCTCTCAACCCGATAGCTTTAATGCTCTTCACATTTAGTGAATCTCCTAGAAGAGAGAATACAGGCCCTGTTGTATTGATAGCTTGGATATTTTCTGCATAAACATCTGAGTTTTTGCCATTAATCCGAAATCAAGAGAGTCTACACATGTTGACAAAATACAAAAGTTACCTTTCCAATTTATCATTTGTTCAAGTTAAGTTGTTCAGATAAAACTCTACTCTATCAATTTGTGAAGTGCTAAGCGGACCAACTAAATAAGTTGTAGTTCCACTCATTTCTGGGTTCTTGTCATTTCTAGAAGTAGTCAATTGTATATTTGTAAAATTGAAGATTCTTGCGTTCTCAGATACTCAATTAGTATGTCCAAGGAAGAATATGTTCTGGGTGGAGGTTGCTTGAAACCCTAGGTAAGTATCAAAATAAACATCTTCAAAATGGAGATCTCCAATCAAAACATTCATTGTAGCTTGACTCTGAAAATGCAATTCTGGAGGCTTGTCTCCACTATTATATGCTGTTACATTTTTGAAATATGTCTTTGTCCCAAGATATGACTTTGACTCTCCTCAGGTTTGATACATAAAACTAACTCTGTACAAGTTCTGAGTTTCATATGAGACATTCTCCATGTGCCAATTGAAACCTGTTGTGAAAGCGTATAAAATTGTTCCCTGACATTTAAAATCCACATTTATGAAGGAAATAGATTTAGCATCTACTCTGAGAGGAGATACCAAAGCATGACTGGTTGCAATATCATCATAGTCTGTTATGATTCTGAAATTCTTAATTGCCAGTCCAGCATGATATGGTTTAAAAACTCCCTTTAAAGCATACAAATTATTGACTTCAGAGGAGCTAAACCCGGTATTGCTTAAAATTATTTGGTCTTCCTCAAGATTCTCATGCTCTAAATATAGCTAAAATAATTTACCTAAAATTTTAAATTTAGTTGTTGAAGAGTAAGGTACTTTCTTTGATTGGTCTTGAACTCCGATCATTCTTGCAAATCCTGAAGCTTTCACCCAATCAGAATAAGTGTCGATTACCACTCCAGTCATATTGACGATGTAGGTTGGAGAAGTTGCATACACAGTTGCTCCTTCTTGGATTAGCACTGTAATTGTTCTTTCTGAGTGAGAGTGAAAGTTCAGTATTTCAACAAACACTGAATCAAGATCTTTATATGGATGCAGCTTTGTTCCCAATTCTACTGGGCTTGAACTCAGAGGATCAACATAATAAGTGAAGCTTCTTCAAAGAGGAATTGAACTCAACTGAGGATCAGTTATCTGGGTCTGATAAGACTCATCTCAAGAATCTACACATGCCATACCATCAAGGTTAAGAAATTTATCAGCTGGTCATTGGAATCAGTGAGGCTGATAAGCTCACACAGAATTTCAAGAAGTTGCTCACTCTTGTCACTGTTCTGTTGGATACGAATAATACTGTCCATCCAGACACTCCTGCCAATCTCACAATCCAGTCTCTTCTAAATCACATCTCACCCCATACACTTACCATTAACCACATAATTCTCCGCTCACCTACTGCACCTTGCATACTCACTTCACTCCTCACACGACTTATGTCACCTAAATCACCCCTCTTTCTCTTCAAACTCATCATATCTTCACTCTTGTGTTCCTTCCACCATCCTAAACTCTTCAGCCTCTATCTTACCTCATCAGCAGTGCCAGCACCACTCATACTAAAATTCTTGTCTATATCGAAAGTGAGAACGGCCTTGGCTTTAGCCAAGGCGCTCATTTGGCGAAAAAAATGAAAATTTTATTGTAGTGAAATAGGGTATGCCCTGAAGAAAGAAGTAGAAGTAAAAGCTTAAAGCGAAGAAATAGGTGAGAGGGTTAAAGGAAGAGGTTAAGGGGAAAAGAATAGAGAAGAGATAGTGGAGTAGGAACGTAAGGAGGGATGGGAGATGGTATGGGAAGAGAAGGCGAAATTGGGGGGAGGAATTGTGAGGTAGGGGGTTGAGGAGAGATTTTAAGGGGTGGAATTTTGAGGGAGAAGGTTTAGACTAAATTTAAATAGAGAGGGTGTTATGGATAGTTATGTTGTTATTATTAATGGAGGCAGTTATTTATAAATTTCGTTAGATTTTATATTTTATGTAATTTGTACTAAATCCAAAATTTTATTAGAATAAGGCATTCGGTTTAATATTTACCATAATTACTAGTTTGCGCGAATTTCCAAATCCCAAGGCAAAATGTAGGCTTCACCAATATTTTTTAAAAAATGTAGATTTAAAAATATCAGTTCCAAAGATGGTGAACATCTCAATATTATTAAATTACTAAAAAACTAAAATGCTTATCCAAACTTAATCCTCAATAAATGATTATTAATCCTAATCTCATGATTATATACTCAAAAAGGGCTAACTCAATAACGGTCTTACTATTTTAACTGATTCTAAACTTAGCTAAAAAGCTCTTTCCCAAACATCACCTTCCAAAACCCACAATTATCAGCATGAAAATACGCTACAGACTTCTCTATCCAATTCAGCCTAACTATTATCCAAGGGGTTTTGGGGTTTTGGGGTTTTGGGG